CCTTTCCAGGAAGTCCACTTTTTCCACCCTATCAGCCCATCCTAGCTAGTTACCCTTCCCTACATGAAGTCCTTAAACTGTCAGTGCCCGGGAACCTAGCCTTTCTATCTTTTTCAGCCAGCCCACCTCAATTTACCAGGCCCTCTTCATCCATCCATGCCTTCCTTCCCATCTAAGCCCCTACCCCAGTGACCTTGACTTAGTTCATAGTGTTCCCCCCTCCAATTTTGTCTCACCCCTCTCCCCTGCCACTCCTGCTCACCTCTGGCAGCCACTGTCCTATAGTTTTATTCATCTGTTCATTGTCTTGGGCTCACCTCTTTTTCCATAGCAACAACAACAAAAAAATAAGGTCTAGTTATCTGGGTATGAAGCCTGATTCATCTACCTACTTCTAACTTGATAATTTTGACAAGGTCACCTTTCCAATCAGTCAAGGTCACCTTTCCAATCAGGTTCCCTTCCCTTGTGACACAAGATTCCCCTCTATCCACCCTCACTCCCCTCCTGAGCAAAGCCACCTTTCCAGCCAGTATCTCCTCCTGCAGTAACTTGGCCCAGACACCCTGCCCTAGCTTGTGACTCTTCTGCCATTGCTCTGGCTTCCTGACAGAGCAATTCAATTTTCTCCAAGCAGCCTGTATGCCCTTACCTAGTGGGATTCTTCCTCCACTTATGCTCTCTTCTTTAGATCAACCTTCTTTCTGAATCAACCATCTTACAGACCTATGTCCACCTCTCTGCTAACCACTGACCTGGTCATTTCCTCCCTTGGAAGCTACCTTAGCTTGGCCTCTTTGCCATCCTATGTTCCCAGTTTTCTCTCTGCAGGCAGGCTCAAACATAGGCCTGTCTTCCCCTCCCAGTATCCTCACCTAGCCAGGGCATGGTCCTAGACCTGAGACCCTCCTTCGCCAGGCTACCCTTCACCAAGCAAAGCCCTCTTCCACCTTATGCCTCCTTGCTTGTGCGGGTCCGCTTCCCCAGAAATTTCTTCCTTCCCTAAACCTTGTGCCTCTCTCCAGCATTTTCCCTTTTCAACATGAACACTTTCTGGAGGAGTCACTCTTCACTGGACTTTCACAGTCAGTGCTTCCTTCTCCAGCCCAACATCCTACTTTCTTTATTTAAATAATTTATTTTTTAAAATTTATATCTTTTGCATCATTGTGCATTCCCCATAAAATTCCCACCACCAGTTCACCCATGAGCCATCACCAGAGTCCTTTGTGCTCTTCCTTGTTTTGACCACTTCTCCTCCTCTTTCCTTGCAGAATGCCTTTTATTTATGGTTGCCTGCTAATTTTGTGTTATTATTGTTAGCTCTTTCCTGATTCCTTCTTTGGCTCCCCCATATTCCTCCTATAAGTGAAATGATTTGATATTTTTCTTTTTCCTTCTGGTTTATTTCACTGAGCATGATCTCTTCAAGTGCCATCCATGTTGCTGCGAATGGCATGGGTTTATCTTTTTTCATTACTGAATAACATTCTGGATTGTGTATCAATATCACATCTTCTAGATCCAGTCATCTATTTTTTGGCATTTGGGTTGTTTCCATCTCTTACCTATTGTGAATAATGCCACAATAAACATAGGAGTGCAAGTATCCTTCTGAATTAATGTTTTTGTGTCCTTTGGGTAGATCCTTAAAAGTGGAATTGCTGGGCCATATGGAAGCTCCATTTTTTTCCCCAAAGATTTATTTATTTATTCATATGGAACTAGGGTACGGGCCAGAGATGCGGAGGGTGAGAGGATTCATCAGAGACAGAGTGAGGAGCAGAACAGGCAGATCGATGAAGTACATTGCTGAAGGGAGCAGCGGACGGGTCAGGAGAGGTCTGCCTCGCCATGTGGATCTCCTCCTGGGCAGGCGAGAATCGAACTCATGAGGAAGTGGCTTTAGCTTCCTAGTGCTGTGCTTTAACCCTCTGCGCCACCAGGGAGGGCCCGGAAGCTCCATTTTTAATAGTTTGAGGAACCTCCACATAGATCTCCATAGTGGTTGGACCAGTTTGCATTCCCACCAGCAGTGTAGGAGAGTTCCTCTTTCTCCACATCTTCACCAGCATTTGTTGTTGCTTGTTTTTTAAAAAATATGTGTCATTCTTACTGGTGGTACCAGTGGCTTTGATTTGCATTTCCCTGACTACAAGGGATGCTGAACATTTTTTTATATACCTATTGGCCATTTGTATTTCCTCTTTGGAGAAGTGTCTTGTTAGCTCTTCTGTCCATTTTTTACTGGACTGTTTGCTTTATTTTTGTTGAGTCATTTGAGCTCTTTGTACATTTTTGTGATTAGTCCCTTAGCAGTTGTATTGAATGTAAAAATTTTCTCTCAACCAGTACGGTTTCTTTTTGTTTGGTTAGTGTCTCTTGCTGTACAGAGATTTTTTAGTTTGCCGTAATCCCAGTTGTTTATCTTTTCCTTCACTTTGTTTGCTTTGAGGGGGGTATGTCCAGTTCTCCCAGCGCCATTTATTAAAACAAATTGTCCATGTTCCATTGCATATTCTTTGCTCCTTTGTCAAAGATTAGTTGTCCATAAATATGTGGGCTTATTTCTGGGTTTTCTACTTGGTTCCATTGGTCTGTATGTCTGGTTTTGTTCTGTTACCATGTCGTTTTAATTATTATGGCTTTTTAGTATAGTTTGAAATCAGGGAGTGTGATCCCTCCATTCTCCTTTTTTTTTAAAAGTCATGAGAGCTTTGGTTAATGGTGTTTTTTGTTGTCCCATATGAATTTCATCAGTGTTCTATTTTTTTGAAGGATGTCATTGAAATTTTGATAGGAATAGCATTGAATTTGTACATTTCTTTTGGTAGATTGGCCATTTTGTTAATGTGAATTCTTCCAATCCATGAGCAAGGGATGTCCTCTTGTTTCTTTGTGTCTTCTTCTATTTTTTTTTTAAAGTCTTATAGTTTTCTTTGTACAGGTCCTTCACCTTTTTTCATTAGGTTTATTCCCAAATATTTGATTTTTTTTTGTTTCAATTATAATAATTTTCCTGACTAGACTCCTGAACCCTGCCAGGTTCTCTTCACCCACTTGCATTCTCTGTCCAAATTCCTGCTCATTTTTTCAGGCAGGCTTTCTGCTCTTACAAAGTCTCTTTTCTCAATCATTGTACCCTTTCCTTAGCCAGATTCACCATCCCTCTCCTCAGTCTCTCTACATAACTAGGTCTCCTTTCTCAACTGTGTGTGCCCTCACTCAGCCAATCCCTCTGTCGGGGTGCATGGGAAACAGGGGCATTCAAGGATGGGGGACCAGGAAAGACTGGAATGGAATGGCTTCCCACCTGCCCCAGCTCTAAGATAAGAGCTGCCAAAAATCCCCAAATGGCAAAAAGCCAAAACCAAGGGCTATAGTGATACAATATCCATATATAAGGTGATTTTTTTCCATGTAGGGAAACATCAACTCAGGACAATCTCAATATAAAGTTCCTCTGTAACATGGCATTTCAGACTACCACCAAGATCTCAGGCCCTGATCCCTTCTCTCCAAAGCCTCCATCTGCCTCCCCTTACCTATTCCCTCAACAAGGGGGGATTCCTTGGCTGAAGTAGATCTTGGGATCAAAACTCTTTGTGAACTAAAGCAACTACAGAAAAAAATAGTCAGGTTTTTAAAAACTTTTTATTTTTTAAACAAGTGACATATATTTTTAAATTTATATAATTTGTTTTAGAATATTCGGTGTGCATAGACATTTTTAATGAATTTTAATAAACACTGACATACAAGCTTTGAAGATTGACATTTTTCAAATTATATATTGCAAATGATTTTATCATTTGTTGTCAAAAGTACATTGCTCATGGTTTTTTTTTTTTAATGCCAGTTGCAGATATAACAAAAATGCTTGAACACTTTTAAAAAGCTCTTTCAAAGATGTTTCTAATTCCAACAATTCAGGGAATTTAGTTAAGTACAGATCTGTCACACTTCATACCAGTGGTAATCATAAACAAGTGGACCAACTACTTGAATAAAGTCCTACAGTTTTATGTCTCTGAAAAGTATAGGAAACTTGCTAGTTCATATCTTCTCCCCTGAAACTATATCAGTTTCTTTTTGCTTCACAACAGTTGTAGAAATAATGAAATAGGCCCACTACTACTAGAATCAAGTCATATCCATCCCATCTTTAATAAACTATCAAAATCATTCAAATATCAACATAAATTGTATGTAGCCTATCAATTTCTTTAAATTTCTTTTCTGTACTAAACACATTTAACTTCTAAACTGACAAGCTTCTTAAAATTCTATTATTTAGAACATAGCAAACATCTAAGTAATCTAAGTTAATATGGAATCTGACATCTTTATGCAGAAAGAAAAGTACTCTGGGAGCTTTCCCAGTAACTTGAGAGGCCGCCTCGAGTAGCCCAGCATAAAGCAGATTCCCCACCCAGCCCACGTCAACATTTTTTTGAAGAACTAAGCAAAAGGCTTTCACCAGACTTTCGATCACAGAAACTCCAACTTATAGCTAAGAAATCCAATGTATTCGCGGAACAATTGGAAGACTCCAAACTAAACGGATGTTCCCCAGGTGAACAATGCATCCAGCCTTATTTTCATTTTTCACCCCCAATTTATTATTTAGCAATGTGACTAGAGCTTATCCAGGCGGGGAGGCCATTAGTGGTTAGCACTTATCAAACTTACTCCCGTGGGGGAGGACTAGCCAGATATTTCCCAGGGGATGGATGTGTCACTCACTCTTGATACTGCCCCCACCCCCGTCTCTAAGCCCACCTGGGCAGAAGCCAGAAGCCAGAAGCCAGGATGGAGAGTCAGGGGGCTAGAACGTCCAGATAGGGAAGCTGGCTTGGGTGGGTGGTGGGGTTTGGGGTAGCAGAGAGTGTGAGTTTGGAGTAAAAGGAAGGAGAAAGCAGGGGGGGCACATGAAACCTACTGGGGAGATGTGGTGATGGCTTTCTACCATGGAACCCCAGCGGCCAGTTCGGCTGGGCCTAGAAGAGTGGCGGTGCACCCCCAACGGCACGGGCATCGAGCGGCTTCACGGAGTTGTAGTGCTCGCCGAAGCTGCAGGCGTAGCGCAGGTAGACGAGCACGAGCGGCTTCTTGGTGTACTCCTCCCCGATGAGCACAATGGGAGAGTCGGCCTGGATCACCTCGATGGGGGTCTGCAGGATGTGTGACAGGGCCCTGAGCTCCAGCTGGCCACCCCACGATGCGCTGTGCACGATGTCGTCACAGTAGCTCATGAAGTCTTCAAGCCTGGAGCCGTCGCTGTTCTTGGGGTTGCTGAAGAAGGGCAGGAATTCGTCGGCATGCTTGCGCAGGTAATCAGCGGTGCGGCCCCGGAGGCACTCCAGGGTCACGGTGACCACCAGCTGGTCCTGGATGGCGCGATACATGCAGTGGCCGTCGGCCGGGATGTCCTTCATCTGCAGGTTCTTGGCCCCCAGGATGGCGGCCAGCTTCTCTTCCTCCTTGTGGCGGAAGCTGGCAAGGTGCTCCATCTTGGCCTCGGAGATCCTTTCCAGCCGCTCCTGTTCGAGGGCCACCCTCCGCTCTCGCCGCCTCTGGGCCCGCGTCACGTGGGGTGGTTGGTTCTCCAGATCCATCTTGGCCAGGTCTTTGGCGACGGAGTCAAGGCTGCTGTCGTCAGGGAAGTTCTCTTGGAATTTCTCCAGCTCCTGCTGGTGCTTCTGCTCCAGTTCGGCCTCAAGATGGGCCACATCGACGAGTAACTGCTTTCTCCTCCTCTTGTCATTCTTGGGCACTGCATTCTTCATGCGCTGGATCTGGGCCTGCAGTTCTTTCTTCTCGCGGTGGTGGCGGCGTACCATTTGCTGTCGCTCGGTCTGTGTCTCTTCCATCATCACGTTCGAGCTGGACCTTGGTTGCGGCTCAGGTACCGGCTACCGCTCGGAGTAGCCGTTGGGACCAGAGCAGTGGTCAAAGGTTTTCAAGCTCCGCCGGAGGCTTCGCGGGTTGCAGTCCCTCTGCCTTAAGTTGCCCGTGGCCACGCCCCCAATACGTCTGTGACTAGGATTGGCTGCTGGGAGACCCCCCCCCATGCCACGCCCCCCGAAGCACCGTAGCAACGGTTATTTCACCGAAGGTTCCAGAGCCGGCGTGAGATGCTGCCATGGCATAGTACTTGTGACGTTTGGGCTGATAAAATTCCTCCCTGAGGAGAGAGGCCACGGATTTCCTTTGGAGGCAGTTTTGAGCATGCTGAATAGACACTATGAGCAAAGCTCACCCCCTCCTGATTGGAAAAAAATGATGGACAAAAGTTATCGTTGAAATTAAATGGTGGCAGATGTGTGCAGTGAGGATTCGATTCCTTTTATGAATTTTGAATGATGAGTGTGTGGTGATGCCAACTAGTGGGCAACAGAACAATATTGGGATGGTAGTAAAGCCAGGAAATTGTATCATCTTGTTAGAAGCCTTGGAACGAGTATAAACAGTGGCTGTGTTCACCAGAGAAATCAATTGTTTCCACATGTCCTCTCTCCACAGCATCTTTTTACTGTGATGTTAAAAAGTGGCCGTGTACATATTCTCATTGCACTTCTTTGTTGAATAAATTTTTGTAGTAGTAATAAATATTTTTTTCATGGATTCTTACTTTCCAAGTAGCTTCCTTTCCAAGCCACGCTAGAGAAACACGGGACAAATATTACACTGCTAGCTCCACGTGCTCTCATACTGGACTGACTATTATTCCTGGTGTTCAGGAAGCAACCGCAGCTTTCTCTAGCTTTTCAGGTACCCTGACCCGTGAATCTTTAATTTTGTGTATCAGAACAAAGATGTCTATCTGGCCCCGGGAATACAGAATCCTCTGCTTAAGTCTCAGTTCCACCTTGTCTTACCTCAGTGTAAGAATGTAATGACCACCCTCCTCAAAGTAATTCACCGTAACTAAGCAGACCTCTCAGCTTGTGCTGGCCCAATCGCACCAATCGAAATGGCTCTTCTCCTGGCTTCTGAAATGGGTACTCTCAGGTGCTCAGGAACTGTGACAGCTGGAAATCATGAAGCCATTTCTTTCTGATAACTTTGAAGCTCTAAAAGTTCTTCTTTTTAAGATTTATTCATTTATGCATTAAGAACTGGGGTATAGGCGAGAGCTGCAGGGGCAGTGAGAGGATTCATTAGAGACAGTGGGGAGCAGACCAGGCAGATCCATGGAGAACACCGCTGAGCGGAGCAGTGGGCATGTCAGGAGAGGTCTGCCATGCCATGTGGGTCAGCTCCCTGGCTGAGATGAACTCGTGTTGAGGCGGCTGTGGCTAGCTTTGTAGTGTTGAGCTTTAAACCACTGCACCACCAGCTAGGGCCAAGCACTAAAAGTTCTAAAACTGAAAAGAAAAGGAAAATATTAAGCTTGTTCAAATATGCTCTTTCCCTGACTCACCTTGCTCATCTGTATCTTGATTCCAAAACAAGAAGACTGAAGACAACCTCTCCCTTGTTACAAAAGCGGTAACTGGACATTTGTTCAAGTTGTTGCATATTCCAAAGTTTTACTCCCCTTCATTAAAAGAGTATTCTGTGAAATAGATGTACTGTTGTTTGTTTAAACATTCACTTGTTGAAGGACATCCGACTTATTTCAGTTGGGATTTATCACAAATAAACCTGCTGCAAACAGCCATACACAGATTTTGGAGTGAACCCAAGTCTATTTCTCTGGGGAAGATGCCCAGGATTGCCATTACTGGATGATGTTGTGTTTTTTTTAAAAACCTACTTCAGAATGGCTGTATCATTGTACATTTCCACTATCAGTGAATGAAGCATTCAGTTTCTCTGTATTCTCATCAGTTTCTCTGTGTTGTCATAATTTCTTATTTTGGTCATTGTGATACATGTGTAGTGACACCTCAATGTGGTTTTAATTTGTACTTCCCTAACAGTTCCTCACACTCATCTTTTCATGTGTTCAGCTGCCATCTGTGCCACATCTTGGGTAAAATGTTTATGCTGCTTGCCCATTTTATAATGGAACTTTCATTTACTGTTGAGTTTTAAGAGTTCTTTTTATATTCTAGATACTAGTTCTTTTTTGGATATGTGGCTTGCAAATGTTTTCTCCCACACTGTGATGTTTTTTTCATCCCTTTATTTGATCATACTTTTCAGAGCAAAAGTTTTTCATTTTGTTGAGTCCAATTTATCACTTTTTCCTTCTGTGAGTCATGACTTGCTTGTGAAAAGACTTTGTCCTGTTCTTTTGACTCAGAGATTTATAGCTTTATGGGTTACAGTTAAGTGTGTGGTTTACTTTTAGTTTATTTCTGAGTAAGGATTAATAAATAGGCTGAGGTTTATTCTTTTGTTTATGGATATTCATTCCTCCATTGAATTGGTTTTACACCTTCATCAAAAAACCAGTTGGGTATATTTGTGTTGCTCTACATCTGGGCTTTCCATTCTGTTCCATTAATTTATGTGTGTATCCCTCTACCGATACAAAGCAGTCTTGATTCTGGCTATGTAATAAGTCTTGAAAGTAGTAGACCTTTGCCTTCAACTTCTTTTTCAAGATTGTGACAGCTATACAAATTCTCTTGTGTTTCCATATGAAGTTTAAAATAATCTTGTCTAGATCAACAAAAAGTTTTGTGGGGATCTTTATAGGAATTATGTTAAATCCATGTGTCAACTAGGGGAGAATTGACATTTTTACTATGACGAGTCTTGTAATCCATGAACACCTGGGTATGTATCTCCATTTGTTTAAATTTTCACTGATTTATTTCATGAGTGTTTTATAGTTTTCAGCATGTAAGTCCTGCACATTTTTTGCTAGGTTTACACTTAAGCATTTCTTTCTTTCTTTCTTTCTTTTTTTTTAGTGACTGTGAATGACATTTTTGGATTTTTAATTTCTGTGTCCATATGTTGCTGGCATGTAGAAATTACAATAAACATGTTGATGTTTGTCTTGTATGTTATGATCTTGTTCTGCTGACTTATTATTCCTAGGAGGTTTGGCAGGGGGAGGGCTAGATTCCCTGGAACTTTGTATGTGGAGATTTATGTCATCTGCAAATAGGGGAAGTTTTGTTTCATCTTCTCCAAGCTGTATCCTTTTATTTCCCCTCTTTGCCTTATTTCACAAATAATAACTTCCAGCACTATATCGAACGAGAGTGGTAAGGGCAGACTTCATGATTTGTTCTCAATCTTGAGGGAAAACATTTGCCTTTTACCTGTAGGTTTCATATTAGCTGTAGGTTTTTTATAGATTGCTCTTATCAAATTGAGAAAGTTTCCCTGTGTTCTTATTTTTTGGAGAGTTTTTAACACATGTGGGCAAAGATTGAATTTTGTCAATATTTTTTTCTACATCAGTTGGTATGTTCATGCTTTTTCTTCTATAGCCTGTGAATGTGATGGATTAGATTGATTGCTTGTCAAATATAACCAGTCTTGTATTCTGGGAATAAACCCCACTTGGCTGTGATTTATAATTCTTTTTATACATCGCTGAATACTATTTGCTAAAACTTTGTTAAGGCTTTTTTTTTTTAAGATTTATTTATTTGTGCTTATAGAACTGGGGTACAGGCCAGAGGCTCAGGGGTGGCGAGAGGCTTCACCAGAGACAGAGTGGGGAGCAGAACAGGCAGATCGACGAAGTACACTGCTGAGGGGAGCAGAGGGCGGGTCAGGAGAGGTCTACCACGCCATGTGGTCACCTCTGGGGCAGGCAGGAATCGAAATCATGTGGAACTGGCTTAAGCTTCTCAGTGCTGTGCTTTAACCCGCTGAGCCACCAAGGAGGGCCTGTTAAGGCTTTTTATATCTACATTTATGAAGCATACTGATCTGTAGTTTTCTTTTCCCATATTGTTTTATTGGTGTTGGTACCTGGATAATACTAGCTTAATAAATAGAGTTGGAAGTGTTTCCAACTTTACAGGCTATTGTGTAAAATCAGTGTGGATTCTTCTTTCAATATTTTGCCGGAGTCTTCAGTGAAAACAGTTGAGCCAAGAGACTGTTCTTTTGGGGAGATTCAAAATTACAAACTAATTTTCCTTAATAATTATAGGTCTAGTCAAATGATTTATTTCATATTAGGTGAATACTTTTGGTAATGTTTTTTGAGTGATGGGTCCATTTCATAGAAGTGGCAAAATTTGTGTGTAGAGTTGATTGTAGTGTTTACTGTCATTTGATATCTATAGTGGTGATATTCCTCACTTCAGTCCTGATGCTAGTAGCTGTGTCTCCTCTCTTTTGTTATTTGTTCATTGTCAGTCTCATTAGAGATCAATTGTATTGATCCTTTCAAAGAACAAGCACCTTGTTTCATTGATTTTTCCCCTACTGCTTTACTGTTTTAACCTTCATTGATTTCTGCTCTTTCTTTTCCTTCTGTTTGTTTTGAATGCATGTTAGTCTTCTTTTTCTAGGTTCTTGAAGTAGGATATTAGATGATTGATTTCTGGCCTTTTCTCTTTTTTAAATATATGAATTTAGTGCCCTAAATTTCCATATCAGTATGATACTCTGTATTTTCATTCATTTCATTTCATTCAGTTTTGTGTTCCATGTATTTTTGATTTCCCTTGAGAATCTTTGGTCTATGGATTATTTACAATTGAGTCAATACTTTCCAAGTGTTTATAGATTTTTTGGTTTATCTTTCTGCTGTTAACTTTTACTTTGATCTTGTGGTGGTTGGAGGACAGCCTTGGTATGCGTTTAATTTGTTTAAATTTGGTGGGATATGTTTATGGCTCAAAATAGTTCTATCTTAACACATGTTCCATGGGCACTTGAAAATGTCCATAGTTTGTATTAGGGTTCGCTCCTGTTGTTATATATACTATAGGTACATTTACTTGCA